GCTTGACGCCAGTAAGCACGGCGTCGAGCTGCCTGCCATGTCACCGCCACGTCTGCGTCGAGCCCAAGAGCTCGGCGCCAGCAACGATGGCGCCGAGTTAAGGGTCCAAATTTTGAAATCTTACCTCCAGAAGCATATTTGTGAAAAAATTTCAAAAAAAAGGCTAAAAATAATAAAAAAAAATCGGACGTAGGCATCGTCCACCTCCTGGACTAATGACACGTGAGTCCGGTGGACTCTAGGCGTGTGTTGATGTATTTGCCGAGATTGGGGTATATGACGATAAGAAGGTTTTTAGTTATGATAAAAGGAAAAAAACGCAGTATTAGATTTTTAGTCAGTGTACCTAACCTAAAAGATTAGTGTAGAACTTGTTTTTCTCTGGACCGAATGACGAGAATCATGAGATGTAGCAACCCCAACCGCAATCACTAAATTCGGAGCTTGTGCGCTTACCGAACTAATTAAGCTAATCCGATCTGAGAGCCTAAACCGAACTAAGCTAATCCGAGAGCCTAAAAGACTTTCTGAAGGACACTAGTGAGTGTTGCTGCATACAGTAGATGTTGCCACGAGTCCACGATTTGTACGTTTTCTTTATGTTCGTCGTTTGTTCGGTTCGCATCATCTCCGACCGGACCTTAACCATGTGTTGTCAATTTAATTTTTCTCCTCCGCAGGGATCAATCAATCATTAAGACCAGCATGAAAGCTATCTCAACCAGCCAAGGTTTAGAGCTTTATTGAATCCATATGACTAATAGTTAGCTCCAGAAAATTAATGGTGAGTTTGTTTGTTTGGGCCCTCATCTAATATCTTACCCACTACCTGCTAAAAATTAGCTATCTAGATTTTTTAGCTAACCCAACTAATAGTTAGCTGAATAGATTCAAAATGGGTTTTAATAAAAAAAAATGTTTGGCTTGTCATTATTAGTAGCGTATGTAGTGCTAAGCTTGCTAGAGAAATTCTTTGAGAATGTGCACATAGCGTGGTGGTAGGGGAGACCTATAGATTGAGAGTTTAACTTCCTATTCTAAAAAAAGCAACTCGTTGTGCTATTTGATAGCTAGATCAGAGTTCAACTCCCTGATCTTAAAAAGAAAAAGAGACAACTTAGTGCCTGTTTAGTAGGGCTCCACTTTGATGGCTTTTATCGACTTGTTTTCCTACTACCCTAATAAAATCTTCATATTAATTCTCACAAGATATGTTAGGAAATAATAAATTTTAAAAACTAACATAAAAATAAAAAAAACATCGACTATTCAACACCACAATAATAGTCATCAGATTTGTTTTGATTTTCTAAAATTATACACCTTTGTCAATAGAAAAAGTCTAAATTAACCTCCTAATCCTGATCTAAAAGAAAATAGTAACTGGATTTGGTATTGCGACGTCCTCTTGTGGTTCTTGGAGGTGGTTCTTGGGGTGGACTTCTTTCCTTTGGGTGGTATGATGGGTTTTTATCTCTGGCCGAGCACGGTGGCCTCGAGTTGGCCTGCATGATAAAACACAAAATTGGTTATCTATTAGGATTTTTAGGAATAAAATTGGGTGGACACCACGTCCGTGGTAATACCCCATGCGACCCACCCCGATGTATGACATGTATTTTTTTTTTGAGGAAAACAGGAGGGGCATACCCCTACTGAGATTGAATTAAAAAAAAACTGCAAAACGCAGAAAAAGTACAAGAACATATGAGAGGGAAAGAAAGGGGAGCAGAGGAGTTCAAGACACACACAAAAAGAGTGAAAAAAGAGAAGAGCAACTACAGGCCGGGTCCAAGCTAAGAAAGACTGGCAATCCATTGATTAAACTGAGGGGAGTAACTTCTTTTGGCTCTCACAAACAGAAGCTGAAGCTCTTGTCTGAAGTGATCTATGGACTGTTGAAAAACAGGGTTAACCTATCGAAAGATCAGGTCATTTCGCGCTTTCCAAATTGTCCAACTCATCAGAATGATTATCTCCATGAAGAAGGGGACTTGAAGCTGATCTTTGAAGCTTTGAAGGTTTTGAAAAGGGTCCAGATTAGGGTCGACCTGAATGCTTAACCATGCCCAGCATTGAACAGCAAACGGACATGTTAGGAAGAGGTGTACCAAAGACTCTTCTGTAGCACTGTTGCATAGAACACAATTAAAATCTTGCAATGCCATGTTCTTTCTCCTCAGAAGCTCCCTGGTGCTTACTAGAAAAACACTTTGTGTTTATTTTGGCAAGAGCTCTTCCTATACCGGACGTAGAGCTATATGTCCACTCAATTGCTTGTATGCTTTGCTCACTGAATATTGGTTTGAGTTCCAGATATATGACCAATTATCTAGCAAGTCATTCAAAGGGATCCCCTCCAATTCTTCCTAAAGTTGTAGTAACTTCAAGTGTGCTTGCTGGGACAGGGGTAAATGAAACAGGCCATGGAGATGTGTTTGTACTTTGCCCTCGGCAAAAAGAATGTGTTTCTTCCTAGCAAATGAGAATAGTTCTGGCATTTTAAAAACTAGTGGTTCACTCCCCCAAAGATCCTCCTAGAAAAAAACAAGATTTTTCATTGCTAACTGTAACCCTCGCCATCCCCTTGAAATTATCCAAAAGCTTCAAGACATCTCTCCACTAGAAAGATCCCTTCTTTGAGTTCTCAGGCAATTTTCCAGAGCTGTAGTATTGCTCCCAAATCAAAGAAACCCAGGGTAGGTCATCTCTGTTAAAGAACTTGTGTAGGTGTTTGAGTAGCAGTGCTTCATTCCAGGTCTTGATGTTGAGAACTCCCAACCCTCCTTGTTCTTTGGATCTGCATACCATTGACCATGCTGCCTTTGGTTTTTGCCTAGCATTGATATCAGCCCCCTCCAAAGGCAAATTTCCTGAATTTATCTATTTGATCAATCACCGTTTGCTGAAGAAGAAAAGTACTCATGCAGAATGTTGGTAGAGCCGAGAAGATTGAGTTTGTGACTTCTAGCCCGCCTGCTTGATTTAGAAATGCAGAGGTCGCAACCAACCTTCTTTCACATCTATTGACTAATGGGGAGAAGTCAATCACCTTTGGCTTAGTGAGGCATAAAAGCAGACCTAAATAAGGGTGTGTTTGGTTTGAGGACAAGGTTGGATAGGATATATGTATCCATGGATATCTGGATATGGTTATCCATGTAGCGTATTTGGTTGGATGGATATTTGTTGGACGAGGCGAGACAGGGCGAGTCATTTTTCTGTTTGGTTGGATGGACAAGGATATCCATGCTGATTATGTTATATGGGACCCACTTGTAATTTATTTATTTATTGTCAAAACATAACCACGTGAGATCTTATTTTGTAGATTTAATTAAAACAAATACAATGATGTAATCATATCACAAATTAGATAAATGGTTTAGAAGATAAAATCGTTTTACGGTTGCATGCAACCATTGCTTCTTGCTGACACATGAGCAAGACCCATTCCATGCAATGGTGGATGAGCTTGTCCGCCACTTTTTTGGTGGCACGATATCCAGGATCTTATGAGAATATTCTATATTCTGGATATCCAGAACTGATTTGTTCGTCCAACCAAACAACCCTCATCCATGGATATCCACATCCCATCCATGATATCTATGGAACCAAACGCACCATAAGTAAAAGGCAAACTTCCAGTTTCACAATTGAAGGTTCTTGCTAGGTGCTACAGTTTTAATTCACTTGTGTTGATAGGTATCATCATATGCCATGTTCGCTTGGCTGATAAGCCATGGCTAAAAGTACTGTTGGCTGATTTGTTGTGAGAGAAAAATATTATTCGTTGGCTGAAAAAGTACGGCTTATAAGCCAAGCGAACAGGGCGATATATTTTGCAAAGTTTACTTTCAGACCTGTAGATTCCCCCAAAAGTATTGAGCAGGGCCTTGAGAGTCCAAAGTTGCCTGCTGCAAGCTTCCATTATAATTAGTGTATCATCAGCATACTGAATCACTGGAAAGTCTGTTGTGCATCTGAGAGGGATTGGAAGCCTGAAGAGACCTTGGTCCTTTGCTTTGTTCAGAACTGATTGTAGAAGGTCAGCAGCTAATACAAAAAAGTAAGGGGATAGGGGATCCCCTTGCCTTGCTCCTCTCTTACAATGGAACACCTTTCCCAGAACTCCATTAGGAGCTGAGAGCAACACACACAACTATGATTATCCAAACTGTCATACATGATTAGTTTTTTTGCCACGTGTCATACATCCAAGGTAGGGACTGCATGGGAGGGGTTTGGACCCAGGGTCTACCCAATTTTATTCCGATTTTTGAGGGAACCCCCCTAACACCAACGCTAGCCATGGCGACTAGCAGCAAATGACGAGGAAGGAGTAAACCAGGGAAATAGAGGGTATAGGATGCAGGGCCCGTCGCCTCCTTCATTGTCTCCGCACGGGCACTCGCCGGCGAGCTCGGGCAGCAGCAGGGGAGGAGAGGGAAGGGAGGGAGGGCACCGCCGGTGCCGTTCGGGGTGCCACGACCATGTCGCCCACGGACGGGACGATGCGGGGGCCTTGGACGGGTTCAATAGTTAGGTTTGGTTCGCCATGCCAACCAATTGACCGTAACTGTACTGCCTATTCCTGTTGGTTTTTATGAAACCGTGCGTGATGCTGCATATTTGCGTACATCGAGAAGCTGCATTGCGCTTTCAGATTTGTGCGCAAGGTCGGTCAGCGCCTCCACGCCTTACACGACCGTGGCCTAACATCATCAGTCTCCACTACTACCCACTATATATATACGCATGACTCGTCCAGATTTTTCCACACTTCAAAACAAGCAGCAGAAGAAGAGCATCAGCCTCTAGCCAGCTGATGAACTAGGGCTCTCTACTTCGCTCCTCGCTCCACGTCTATCTGCATCCTCCCTAGTCCCTCCTCTCCTATCTACACTCTGCATGCGGTGCCGGTGAGGCCCCTTGCACGACAGACAGCCAGACAGAGGTACGGTGCAACGGAACTAAAGCAAAGTCAGTCATCGTCCATGGAGATGGCCGCGGCGGCGAAGGGGCCTAGTGCCCCGGAGTGGCGGGTGACGGTGCCGGAGGGTGCCTCGGTGGCGGTGGAGCACGAGGCCTGCCGGGCCGCGCGGGCGTGGGCGTGGCTGGTCTCGTGCGTGCTCACGTTCAGGGACAGGGTGCTCGGGTTCGGCAGGCGTGTCTGGAGGATCGGCGCCGACGACCCCAGGAGGGCGGTGCACGGCCTCAAGGTCGGCCTCGCCCTCACGCTGGTCTCCGTGTTCTACTACACCAGGCCCCTCTACGACGGCGTCGGCGGCGCGGCCATGTGGGCCGTCCTCACCGTCGTCGTCGTCTTCGAGTACACCGTCGGTAAGTTTAGTTGCACGTCGACCGCAACCGCATCCCATGCCATGCACGGAATGTTTGCTGGACTACTAACGTACTGGTGGCTCTACGTTTTATATGCGTGCAGGTGGCTGTGTGTACAAGGGGTTCAACCGAGCCTTCGCCACGGCCAGTGCCGGTGTGATCGCGCTTGGCGTGCATTGGATCGCCAGCAAGACCGATGACAAGTTTCAGCCGTTCATCAGAAGTGGCTCAGTTTTTGTGCTTGGTACGTACCAAAGCGGCAAAGCCGTATGTTGTGTAAATTGCAAAGTGTTCGTTGCACGTATGAGTATGACAACACGGCGAAATTAAACCTGCTGCATGTACTCACAGCTGCGATGGCGACGTTCTCGCGCTTCATCCCGACGGTGAAGGCGCGGTTCGACTACGGCGTCACCATATTCATCCTGACCTACAGCCTGGTGGCGGTGTCGGGCTACCGCGTGGACGCGCTCGTGGCCATGGCGCAGCAGCGGGTGTGCACCATCGCCATCGGCGTCTCCATGTGCGTCGCGATCTGCGCGCTCATCTGCCCCGTGTGGGCCGGCCAGGAGCTGCACCGCGCCACCGTGCGCAACATGGACAAGCTCGCGGACGCCGTCGAGGCCTGCGTCGAGGGCTACTTCGCCGCCGCCGCCGCCGGGGAGGAGGCGAAGGTCAACTCCAACAAGAAGGCGGCGGAGGGGTACAAGTGCGTGCTCAACTCCAAGGCGTCCGAGGACTCGCAGGCCAACCTGGCGCGGTGGGAGCCCGCGCACGGCAGGTTCGCCTTCCACCACCCGTACGGCCAGTACAGGAACGTCGGCGCCGCCATGCGCCACTGCGCCTACTGCGTGGAGGCCCTGCGCTGCTGCATCCGCTCGGCGGAGATCCAGGCGGCGGCGGCGGCGGCGGCGCCCTGTCACGCCAGGCGGCACCTGGCCGGCGCGTGCGCGCGGGTGGCGGCGCGGTGCGCGACGGCGCTCAGGGCGGCGTCGAGCTCCGTGGACACGATGACGACGTCGCGGGGCCTGGACTTGGCCGTGGTGGAGATGAACGCCGCCGTGGAGGAGCTGCAGGCCGACCTGAGGGCGCTCCCGTCCAGGCTGCTGCTGGCCGAGGCGACGACGACGGCAGGGTCGGCGGCGGCGGAGCCCGCGGCCCCGATGGTAGGCGCGGCGCAGCTGTTCACGATCACCTCGCTGCTGATAGAGGTGTCCCTGAGGATCGAGGGCGTCGTGGACGCCGTCGACACTCTGGCGAACCTCGCCAACTTCGAGTCAGCTGCAGGCGACGAAAACGAAAAGCCCGCGAAAAACGTGATCAGAGAGTCGGAAGGGAATGGGACGATGAAGACGCTTGAGCAGGCCTAAACCTAATCGGATTGCGACCAGAATTCAGTCCACCACCAGTGAAGATGAAGATGAGTCGAGCCCACTGGCCCGATCTGATGGGGTTCGCTGGTTTCACTTCCGTGATTGAGTCACACACCCTTGGAAGCAAATCCTCATGTTTCCAATGCATTCAAAGTTCAAACGAGACCTAACATGAAGGGAATCACGTACGGAGTCTGATTGAGAATAGCATGGTGTCACCCATCACGATTTTGGGGATGAGATCATCCTTTCTCATTCCTTAAGCTTGCTTGTTTGTAAAGGATGAAGCGATGGTAGATCTACACATTTCATTTCCCGAAACCAAAACAAGTTGTGGTTAGTTAGGTTCAGATTTAATTAAGATTGGTTTGTCAACAACCTAATCCTGAAAACCTAACACGGTGTAAAAAGGCTGCTTTGGGCAATGGAAAATGCTTGATAATCTGCTGAAAAGCTCATCAGGAGCACTGATCCAGCACACAGCTATGCATGGCTCAAATTACTCTCTCTTAATATAAAAATCTAATCATGAAGTCAGCAGGTAAGCCTAGTGACTTCATGTAGTACATATGTAAAACGAAAAACCTTCAAAAGTTTAATCTTTTCATTTCCTTCCATAGTTTATCAAGATTTGAGAGCTCCTGAGCGGCATAAGCCAGATGAAAGGTAGATTCTCGGTATGCTTTTCGTTGCATTACAGCGATGCGAAGCACTGGAACTCTACGCCGACGAATGAATTCTTACCTGAAAAGATTGTAAAGTCTCCCTGAAACCGACTTCAATGGTAGATGACGTTATTCTTATGGTCAGGATGACAGGGCACACCTGAAAATCACAGGGACCCCGACCCCATCACCATTCACCACACCCTCTCCCCCCTCCCCCCTCCCCCCTCGATCGATTCTGATGGAGACAGGAGAATGACCAAAAAAGTTTGGTCAGACAATTTTTCAAAACAAAAGTTTGGTCGGACGACAGACAGGCGAATGAAATTGGAACCGCCATATAAGCAGCTTGCATTAGAAAGTCAGCAAAATGGGAGGCAACAAAGTGATCTGTACATTTATGTGGCCGATTATATAGAATATCTGGCTATGTCGCAAAGATCGATACTGCATGTGTTCTTCATTCTGAACTTTGCTTCTGCCGAACACCGACACGGTACGGTTGCTTGGCTATTGTCTACATTCAGTGAACTAGTTAAGTGACCTTGGTTTGCTACACCTACGTACGAAAAAAAGTTATTGTAGGAAAATATTGTTCTTTATTGTCGTCATTCCGTTGGCGACGACAACATTGACGTCCAATTGTAGAGCTCAGCCATAATTGTATCTAAATAATTCTACTTTCCAAGTTATATTTCATTTTAGTTTTGACCTGAATTAAATTGCTTTATTTTTTCGAAGGGACGTGGGATTATATTAAAGCTCGGCACAGTACATCTTCAAATTACATATGAAAAAAAAATCTAAAATAAAGAGTACATAATATTTTATCAAGATTCTTTTATCGTATTCTTTCTCAATGGCTTCCCTCGAACGCCGGAGTCAAAGTGCAGTCCTTTTGCCGAATCCAACGACCAACCCCAAAACATTGAACATGCCGCAAGATTCAATGCTTCAGAACCAGTCCAAAATGCATCTGAATCAATAAAAGAATATTGGTAGTTGCATCATCGGGTACAACATATGATCCAGATTCATCACCTCGAGATCTTGATTCCTCTCCACGACCATCGACGATGAGATCAATGACCCGAAGTTGTTGTCCTCGTAGGGGGGCCAGAAGCACCCCTCCCCTTGCCGATAAAGACCACAAATTGGCCGCCTACAACAATGATCTTGTCGTGGCAATCACTGAAGTCATCGTAGGACCCACGATTCCAATCGAAAATCATCTAATTTCGTCGGAAGTTTTATTTGGATTAAACCCTAAGACACTACCAAAAACTGCGGGAAAAGGATGGGTCGTCTCCCCTTCTTGTCTCCGGCAGACGTCCCGGAAAGGAAAAAGGAGAGGGGGCCCTAGGCAGCGCGACGGCGGTGGCAGCGAAAGCAAGGAGCAGGCGTTTATATACGGCGGTGGCTCTACCCTTGCTAGGCAGGCGTCGTCGTCGTGAAGGTGTCAAAATTGTTAAATTGCTCTAAATTTGAACTAAGTTTTTAGAAAAAAAATTTAACAGCGTCTACAAGTACAAATATATACACTATCAAAGACGTATTTAATGAAAAAATTAATATGAAAACACTTTGATATTGTAGATGATGATAGTTCAAAGTAAAGAACTTTGATTTAAAGGATAAAGATAAAAGTGAAGTATAATTTAGAATGGACGGAGTATAAAGAAAAAAGGACCATTGTGTTGGCTTCACAAGAACATGATAAAAAATGGAAATACATGTACCTAATGCGCGTGCTACCTCTCAGTGGGTTTGTTAGAGATAGAGTCTAACATGTTAAGCGTCTTAACAGTAATCTTACTATTATTAATTGAAGATTTCATGTTAATTTTATGAGACGTGTTAAGAAAAAAAAAACTAAATTCTAAAATTTCTCATGATAACAGACATTGATTCTATTTTTCTTTGAAAAATTACCCACCTCTATCATTATGTGGATTTGTGATCATCTTTTCTACCACTAATGTTAAAAAAAAGCCCTTTATTTGTTGACATCTTTGTTTTCAAATTCAAAAGATGGCAACAGGACGGGTCTAAACCTGAAACCCATGGGTTATAGACCCGGCGGGGGCGGCAGCGGGTCTACTTCTCGTCTCGCGGATCTTCGGGTTCGGAGACCTGAAACGAGCCAGGTCGAGGTCGGGTTTTGATTCTCCCCCGCAGGTCATCGTCGGGGAGCCGAAGTTTTAGCAGCCTGCTCAAACAGCCCACCATACCGGCCCAACGGAAAAAGAAAGAGCTAAGCGATTGACTCCTCTCCTGTCTCCTCTTCCCACTCCCCTGCCGCAGCCGCACGACCTCACGGGGCGCACCGCGCACGCCGCACGGGCACCGTGCCTTTCGCCGGTCCGCCGCCGCCCCTGCTACCCTCCCTCGGTCCGCCACCGCCCGCCGCCCCTGCTGCCCTCCGCCGGTCCGCTGCCGCCCGACGCCCCTGCGTCCCTGCCAGTTCGGTCGTCCTTCCCTTCGCCTGCGGTCCTGCGGACGCGCCGACGCGGCTCAAATTCATAGGCCAAGTTGACGCGGGCCTCGGAACGATCTGGGCCGCACTCAACTGCGCCGAAACGAACCCGCGAACGGTCGGTGGGCTCGCTCAGTTCGAAATTCATTTCCCAGTTCTCGCAGGCCTCTTTCTCACCACTTCACCAACCGTCCGCTCCCTCGCCGGCGCACCTCGCCGGCGCCTGCCACCACCACCAGTGCACGGCCACCCCTATCTTCGTCTCCTTTGCTCCCCCAACCTTCGTTCTGCGCTCGGAACGTTGGATGTGTGCTGCACCAAATCACGCGGGAGGGCAATAAACCCTAGCTAGGCCCTCCCGAGATGGAGGCGGCCGCCTCCAGCCTCTCGACGCTGCTCTCCACCTTGCTTGTAGACGGGCCCTGGACGCCGCCGGGAACCTGGGAGTCGGTCGTCCCTGCGAGCGGCGCCGCTCGCGTCTCAGACTTCGGAGCCCGTCCCCTGCAGCCGATCTACGAGCTCGCATCGGTTACTGTGAGTGAAATCTACCTCTCACCTACTTTGATTGGTTGTAATTTTGAAAATTCAGCGAGAGTATGGGTAAACAGATAGCTTGGGGAACTTTGTTCCAGGAAATACTATGCTGCATTGAACATTTTAGCTTTTCTTATCTGAAACTCTATATTTGTGCCTTTTTTTTTGGTAGGGGTGGGGGTGGGGGGATCAGTTATGTTATAGTTTCATGTATGAGTACCAATATATTTCATATTAGGCCGCTGATAAGTGTGAGGATCATCTTTGTTGTGCAGGATGATGCTTTGGTTCATCTGGCCTTGCATGCGCTGTATGGTGTCAAATCGTCGTTAGATGAGATTGAGGAGCTTTCAGCGCTGTTCTCCTCAAATCCAGCTGACAGGACTTCTAACCGTGTCACAAATGTGTGGTTTCGTTCCTCGAGCACCACATCCGTGGGTAGTATTCTCAAATCTTTACGCTCTACGGGTCTTGCGGTCTTCTTCCTTCACAAGTTTGTGCACTTTTACCTTTTCCAAAGTCAAGAAATGAATTGTGCAAGTAGAGAAGTTCACGGACAGGAAGATTCTGATGATAAAGACATTGAGCAGCATCGGCCTTACAGTCTAGTAAACCAAGCATTTGCAGCAGCAGTTAATAAGGTCCTCGAAGGCTATTTCTGTTCCTTGAATACTTTACCAGCATCAATTAGGCTTAGGCGTTCAGCGGGCCAGTCTGGCATACCTTCCAAGATTTCAGATGGAATGAGTTGTAATTCCACTTCAGAAGTCACTCTTCTGGAAATTTATCGACACACCGAGGAGTTAAGAAGGCATGTTAAATCCCTTGGAAATATTTGTTTCCCTAAGTTTGCAGGTGTTACATTGTGCCAGGAGGGTTTGAATACTGATGCAAATGTGGAGTTTGAGAATTTCCCACGGGGCACCGATTTGCTTTCCTATTTGTATGTCCATATTCGTGTAAGACATCATCTTACGATTTAGGTTTTGAACACTTTATGTATCTATAATCATCTAACTTCTAAAGGAAATTACTAGCTCTGCGCTACTGTATGAGTTATGCACTTCCTAATGTCTTGTATTCACATATATTTGTAATAATGTCTTAGATCTACACATGTTAATTAATATATCCTTCCCAAGTATTCATACTGTATGTATGTAGGTTCAGTTACTAGACGTCTTGTGTTCTAAAAATGTAACCATATTGTCAGGTAGACCTGATTGGCCTGAGTTTTTCTTACTCTGAAGTGCACTCAAGGTCCTATTACATATGCCCAAAGTGGAGCAGGGATTTTCAAAGGGAATCTATTGAGTGCCTACTTTTATTACTCTGAAGTCTCTTATCTTTTTGTGATGGTTGGCAAATATATTAGTTGCTCTCTCTTTCATTTATAATAAGCAAGGCAAGATGTTCGATGCTTGTTTAGATAGCTCCTCAATTTGTTGTCATTATAATGAAACTAGATTTGATAGTGCTAGCATATTACATCTCTTTCCTTGGGTGTGACACTCCTCCCCAAGATCATACTTTTTTGTTGGGTTCTCTATAGTTGTGTGTCTGATGTTATCATGCCTTCCTACGAATATGCAATTGCTTAGTTGGTTTCCACCAAATTGAGTGCTTTTTTGTGTGTACTTGATGGCCACAAATTTCCCCTTCTTTGCCACAAAGATCTTATTGTGATATGTCTTGTTCATCTTGTACATATAACATACTAGGTAAGATGCTGAATGAATTTTTTCCTCATTTTGTTTCACCTGAATTTTAGGATGCTGATCCAGTTCACTATGGTCTTCTGAGGTATCTTTTCATTCGTTCCTGTGAGCCATACTTTAACTTCATTAAGTCATGGATTTACCGAGCTTCTGTTGATGACCCATATGAGGAATTTCTCATTACACAAACTGAAAATAAGGGTGCTCAAGGAGTCTCTTCTGACGTAACAGCTGAGTTTACCCTCTTCCCCTTAAAGGTAAAATGTTAATTTGTTGGGCGAAGCTTCAAGTATAAAAATCTATACTTAATTTTTTCCTCTGTTAATAGAATATATTGTTACATCAGAAATCGAAATATATTACCAATGGGGTTCTGTGCAAACCAGTCCATAATTACTGTTATTTAATTTAGTATACTCGTTTTGAATTATGTCTAAGGTCATTTTATCATGCTCGGCTGTCAGCAGGGAAGAAATCATGTATCTGCTCCATGTTTTCTAAAGGAGATATGCCATCCTCTTTTGCGTACTGGGCAGCAGCTTCAAGTGCTCATGAACCTTCTAAAGTCGTGCAATCTGTCTGCTACTGGAGGGGATGCTTATCCCTCTCGTAATATCATTCATATGGAGGGGGTTCTCCCGTGGTTTGATACACCAATTGAGTCTTCAATGAATTCATTTACGTTCTCAAAAAGCAGCGTGGAGGCAGTAACATGCAAAAGGAATGCTATGTACAAGTCGATGACGGAGAAGCTCCAACATTTTTTCTCTAATGTTGAGGTCTAGTCACATTAACTGAATTACACTCTGCTTTTTGTCTCCAACATCTACTTCTCTGATTTTTGCTCTAACAGAAGCAAGAATACTTGCTTTCCCAAAAGTCATGCTGATTCTATGTTGGGGGTTGTGTTCATTTGCTTCTGTTTGTTTGCAAATATGCTTTCAGGTGATTCCTTTCGATACTGCATCAAACTTCCTACATAAAAGGACGGACCTTCTGGATACATCAGTTTCAGATGCTGAGCTGTTCTATGGGGACAGCGACGCTGCACTACCTTGCAATATGTATGCCTCTGTTTGTGGATTTTTTTGTAGTGCACAGATTTTACAGGAAACAATTAGCCATTCCCCCCACCCATTTTCCCTTGTCTCAAAAAACGAGGCCTTAAATTCCAACCCCCCCCCCAATTCATATTTCGGTCGTTCTATATACATAGCACATGTTGTATACTCATGCCAATATGCGCACAATGGATGCTGCAAGTCAATCCCTTGTTATAATCTGATTTTTTTCTTCTTCTTATGCTAGGGCTGCAGATGAAAAAGATCATGATGCTTCTTTGAATTCCGAAGAATCTTCAGATAAAGAGGATCCCTTGGAATCTTCAGAGTGCTCTTCTTATACCTCTATGGATGACACAGAAGTTGAGAGTTCTACAGCTTGTGAAAATTTGTCTAGTTCCATGTTCTCATTATACTGTACAAGCACAGATGAAGCAAAATGTTCCTTGGTAACCAGGAAGCTGCTTTCGTCCCAAGCCAGTTCAGTTCACCACGGAATAAGTTGTGCAATCCCTATTGATGAGTGTGAGAAAGATGAAAGCTTGAGTTGCCAACATGTTCCTGTGCACTCACAGAATACTAAGCATACTGCATTGCCTGATGGTTTAGAACTGGATTATCAGTATAGTCAGTTTTCCCCGTTTCACAGGTTTATGAAGAGAACCAGTTCCTCATCTGAAAACATTGATTCAGTTGGGGAGTTCTTATATACTGATCATAAAAGGTCAGTAGAGAAAGTATCACATGGTAATGCAGTTTATCCATTACATTCTGAATCAGGGCCTACTAAACTATCAAACAGTAAAAACAATGGGAAGTTTGGTAATATAAATCAGCCATGGAATACCAGTATTCCTTACAATCTCAGTTTGAACCCCATACTGAAGAATGCAGCTTGTTACCGTATGGAGAGTGACGTGCAACAGAAAAGCAAGAACCAATCACTTGCCAGCTTTGATTTTGAGTCAGTCATGGATCCATGTGAAGTATATTGTGCAAGGAGCCCATCCTGCCTTGATGAGTCTATAAATGGAGCAGCAACAGTTGTACATCCTAGTACTCAGCCTTATGAACAGCCTGATTGTTCTACCAAGCTTCTTCAAGCTCATACAAGAAGTCAGGCATCCCTTAGTTCCTCAGGAGAAATGTCAACAAGAGACAATCTCCAGAAAAATGCTTCTGGTGGGGCATTATGGGAGATATCATTATTATATAATGATAAATCAAAAGAAAAACCAGTTGTGGACTTTAGTTCATAGTTTGATATGCCCCTTGATATAGTTATCGACAAGTGCATTATGCAAGAAGTTTTGCTTCAGTACCCTTTTAGCTTTCCTAATCAATAAATCATTTATAGCTTTGGGTGTTTTCATGATCAATTGTTATGTTTCATCCTCTCAGTCATTCTACTATATCGGAAAAGGCTTACTGGCTTAGAGTTTTGGCATCTGTGCTACTGTATTTGTTATGGAGTTGTCTTTAAGCCTTTAAGGAGACCTGGAACTTTTTCAGTTCTGTTCTTCAGGCATTTGTAGTGCAGATAGTTCCAAGTTTTGTTAGTGTGTGAGCTTTAAAGAGCAATGCAGAACATCAGATACTCAATTTTCTTGAACACTAAGTTTTGATTTATTATCTCTAATTGCTCTTTGTCTAATTTGTCCCAGTTGTCATTTATTAAGTAAGTAGTATATATACCTTCTGTTTTACCATTGGTCGACTGCTTCTGTTAGTGAGAACTTTACATATCAGGCTCTTGATAAATGATACTATAGTTTTATTGTTTTTCTGAAAATATTGTCAGTGTTTTCTTATCCTAATCATTAACCACTCAAAATGCATCTAAGTTTTCTTCCAATTTTACCCTTTGTTCCTTAACTTTAAAAGGTATAAATATGTTAGCAGCTTCACGATGAAGTTGCTTGAGGAAGGTTTTGATCTTTGTGCACATCTGCTAGCTCTGCGGTGGTACCATTTCATGGAAATAGCTGACTGGGCAGATTCCTTTATTGCTTCAATTTATCATAAGGTAATGTTTGTCTAACCTTAGTATTTTAGCCATAGGTCATGTGTTTTTGTTAATCTGTACAAGTCTTCTCAAATTTGAACTTCCCCCATGCAGAAATGGTCATTTGTTAAATCTGAGCAGAAAAGATCGGAGATCCAAGGGCTTATGGACTTGGCTTTGCAGAGATCTTCTTGTGATTCTGATCCTTATAAGGAAAGATTGTTTATATACATGAGGGAGCCACCCGTTGATTCTTTTGATGCCTCTGCATGTGGTAATAATTTCATCTGGGATGTCTCTACCTACTATCTGCAGTTTGTTTACTAAAGTTCTATTTCTCAGATTGTTAACTGCCTGATTCTTTACTGCCAGGTCTTGATTTGCTGGATGATATCTTGTTGGGTTATAAAGCTGAATGGCCAGTGAATATTGTCATTACAGAAGACACACTTAAAATATATGCTGAAATATTCTGTTATCTTCTTCAAGTCAGGTTTGCAGTGTTTTCACTGACTGAAGTGTGGAGATTTCTAAAGGTATCTTTTCTCCATTGATGTTTCATCCACAGCATTTCATTCATTTAGATGTACATGCTATGAGAACTTTGACTTCTATTATTATTTCCTGTGGACTGAACCAATTTTGTTAGTGCCTGTTAGAATTAATTACCTCTTAGCTGTAATCTCTTAGTCCTATGCGCTACCTCCAGGCTAGCCAAGCCCTTTGGGCTCTCCCTGCTCTCCTATATATACGTGTAACTCCTGTAATCTGATTAAGTAATCCAAGCCTATTGCCCTTCCTCTATTATGGTATCAGACTAACTTACGATTCCTCTGCTTCCGCTATTCCCGGTGCCCGCCTCGAGCCGCTTTGCTTCCCTTCACCTCTGGCCTTGCACCTCAAGTCGCCCACCCACCGCACTGGAGCCGCCATGACCCACGACCTTTCCTCGCCACGGCGTGCTTTCTGAGCTGCCCGTCGACGCCTTTTGGTGCTGCCGCCGCCCCAGCCGTGCGCTCATGGCCACTTCGACCTCCGGCGCCTCCGCTGCGGCTACTGCGATCAAGCTTCGTGATGAAGCTCTCGCCGCCGCCCAGAAGATGGAGGAGGAGGCCGCCTCCCTGCACTCCACCAACACCGAACACAGCCAGCAGCTTCAGACGGAGGCCGACCTCCTCAAGTCCATTGCTTTGCCGCTTTCGAGATCGCGTTCAGCCGCCACCGACGCCCTCGAGAAGGAGCGCCGCAGCAGCCGACGCTCGAACAAGCGAGGCGCGCCCTCCGGGACCGTCTCCGCACGGACTCCCACGACGACGACGACTCTCAGGACGGCGACGATCACTCCATCTCCTCCGACGCCGCCATCCATCGCCATCTCGCACAACCAGTGCCGCCGCGTCCGTAACATCAAGAACTTGATTCCGATCGTTCGGACCTCCGATCCTCCAACTACTCCGGTGGCGCGCTTCTCGTCCTCCTCATCCTCGGCCGCTTCGCGTTGAAGGACCACGTCCTCGGGCGCCTCCGCTTCAACGATCCAAATGTGGTCCCGCATGGGCTCGCGTGGGTCGTCTCTGGATCTTCAACACCATCTCCACCGACCTTCGGGCGTCATCCACGAAGCGTGACGACATCTCCGCTCGCCGCGCAACGTGGCTTCGGCATTGAACAGCGGCTCTGAACAATCGCGAGTCACGTGCCATGCTCCTCGACGCCGAGTTCCGCACCCTCTCCCAGGGCGCCCTCTCCATTGACGACTACTGCCGCAAGATGAAGGGCATGGCTGATGCCCTTGCCGATCTTGGCGAGCCCGTCCATGACCGTACTCTGGTGCTGAACATACTGCGAGGCCTCAATGAACGTTTCCAGTTCATGTCGCAGTTCATCACGCGCCAGAAGCCGTTCCCCTCCTTTGCGGACGTCCGCGCCTACCTGCGCCTGGCCGAGCTCAACATGGCACCTCCCTCGGCACCTCCATCGGCTCGCTCGTCTCTTCGTCCAAAGAAGCCACACATCCCAAATTGGCCTGGGCTCGCAACCCCGCGTCCTCAACAGAACGCCGGGGGGGCCTCGTCTGGTAGTGGCCGTGGCCGGCGTCGTCGTGGCGGCCGTGGCCAAGGCGGCTCGAACAGTGGCTCACCAGGTGGTTCCCAGTGGCCCTCCGTCCTCAACCCGTGGACCAGGTCCATCCACATGTGGCCCGGGTCCACTCCCGGTGGCCCTCGCGCGTCCACCTCCCCTCAAGACGCCGCCTGCCCTCGCGGCAGCAGCAGCAGCCAGCGCTCACGCTCGTGGCTTGCGTGCGTGCCTCCACCTACTACCCTTGGCTCTGGGACATACCACCAGTGCCCACCCAGACGTCTCTCATCCCGCTCGGGCGCCAAGACCCACCTCCGACGCCTCCTGCTTGGTCACCGTGGGATCCCGGTCCCCGCGCCACGCCTTCAGCACCGTCACCCTCACCCCGCCACCGAACTCCTCGGACTGGGTGATCGACTCGGGTGCTTCGTCTCACATTGCCTCCAACCCTGGTATGATTACCGTATCTCCATCCTCCTCTTTTCCTTCCTCCATTGTTGTGGGAAATGGCGCCACTCTCCCGGTTGTTGGCACCGGATACACCACTTTTCCTGGCCCTTTCCGTCTCAACAATGTCCTTATAGCTCCTGACATCATTAAAAATTCTTCTTCATTACTTAAGTTCACTCATCGATAACTTTGTTTCTGTGGAGTTTGACCCTCTTGGTGTCTCTGTGAAGGATCTCCGTACCAGGAACACCCTCCTTCGATGTAACAGCTCAGGGCCTCTCTACACCTTGCAGCTCCTGTCGTCGCCTTCTGATCCTTGTGCTCTTGTGGCCACTCCTTCTCCAACTACCTGGCATCGTCGTCTCGGCCACCCCGACAGGGCTGCCCTTCAGAGTCTCGCCCAGTCATCTTCCATTATCTGCAGCAAGTCTAAAGATGACTCCATCTGCCATGCCTGTCAGCTTGGGCGCCATGTTCGCTTGCCTTTTACTAGTTCCTTGTTTAGAGCACCTAAAAATTTCGATCTGATACATTGTGACCTGTGGACATCCCCTATTGTCAGTGTATCCGGATTTAAATATTATCTCGTTATTCTCGATGATTGCTCTCATTTTCTTTGGACTTTTCCTCTTCGATTAAAGTCCGACACTTTTACTGTCCTCTCCAATTTCTTCGCCTCTGTGCACACTCAGTTTGGTTGTACCATCAAATCCGTGCAATGTGACAACGGTCGTGAGTTTGACAACTCTGCGTCTCGTGCTTTCTTTCTTGCCAAAGGTGTTTCTCTCCGCATGTCATGCCCCTACACCTCGCAGCAAAATGGCAAAGCCGAACGCATGCTTCGCACCACCAACAATGTCACCCGCACCCTGCTCTTCCAAGCGTCCATGCCCCCCTCCTACTGGGCCGATGCACTTGCTACTGCCACCCACCTCATAAATCGCCTCCCCACCAAAACGCTGAACATGAGCACTCCCTTCTTCGCACTCTATGGCACTCACCCTTCCTATCATGACCTTCGGGCCTTCGGGTGCACCTGCTACCCTAATCTCACCGCTACCACTCCTCACAAACTTGCCCTGCGCTCTTCTTTATGCGTTTTCATTGGTTACTCTCCCGATCACAAGGGTTACAGGTGCCTCGACCTCGCCACAAACCGTGTCATCATCTCTCGCCACGTTGTTTTCGACGAAACAACGTCCCCTTTCTCACTTCGCCGACCCTCACCGCCTACACACGAACTGGATTTTCTAACTGATGACGACCCTCCGTCAGTCCCTTTTCTCCCTGCAGGTACACCTAGAGTCGCTGCCACCACCAGCCACCTTTGCACTCTCTGCAAGGGCCCCTCCCAAATAGTGTGTCTTGATCACCCGGCGTCGGGACTAGGCACACCGGCCTCCAGGTCGCCTCCGCCGGGCTTCACCATACCCAGACCAATGGGCGCCTCGGTGCCCATTCCGGGCACACCAGCGTCCCGGTCTCCTCCACCCGGCTTCACTGCGCCCATGGCGCCCCCTCCACAGGCGCCCGCTGTACAGGCATCCACGGCGCCCCCTCCGCCAGCGTCCCCTCCCTCTACAGGCGCCCACGGCGCCCCCTGTACAGGCGCCCCCGGCTTCCTCCTTCAGCAAGCCGCCCGTCGTCCACGTCTACACCTGGCGTGCCCCCGCACCCAGCTCGCCACCTGAGTCCCCCGTTGGGGCTCCTCCTCGACGCTCCGGCATGATTCCCTCTCCACCGCGCTACGTCAAGAGTGGTCCTCCACTGCCAACAGGAGCCGTCTCCATCCCGCCAATCGCCAACTCTCATGGCATGGCGACCATGGAAAGTCCGGATCTGAGCGACCTCGCCTTGCTCTACACACCGAGGCTCTGTCCCCCACCGCCATGCGTCCTGCTGTGGACGCTCTTGCTAATCCAGACCAAGGCGTCGGGCCATGGAAGAAGAATTTGCTGCCCTCTTGGACAACCACACTTGGGATCTCGTTCTCGGCTCGCCAAGGCAAATGTGGTCACCGGAAAATGGATCTTCAAACACAAGTTTCATCTTGATGGCTCCTTGGATAGATACAAGGCTAAGGTTGGGTGCTCCGTGGGTTCACACAAATACCGGAAAGTTAATTACGATGAGACTTTCAGTCCCGTCGTCAAGCCCGCTACCGTTCGCACCGTCCTCACTCTGGCTCACTCTCGGGATTGGCCCATCCATCAACTTGATGTGAAGAACGCCTTCCTCCACGGGACTTTGTCAGAAACAGTGTATTGCTCTCAACCCACTGGCTTTGCTGATCCTGCTCTTCCTGGACACGTCTGCAAGCTCAACAGATCCCTCTACGGCTTAAAGCAGGCACCGCGAGCATGGTACAGCCGGTTTGCCTCTTTTCTGCTCTCACTGGGTTTCACTGAAGCCAAGTCAGACACCTCTCTCTTCATATATCGCCGTGGCACCGCGACAGTCTACTTGCTTCTATATGTGGACGATATTGTCCTTACAACCTCCTCTGAGCAACTCCTACACCGTGTGATTGATGCACTGAAGAAGGAATTTGCCATGACTAATCTCGGTCCCCTGCACCACTTTCTCGGCGTGGCAGTTCAGCGACACAGGGATACTCTCTTTCTCTCACAACGTCAGTACACTCTGGACATTCTCACTCGACACGGCATGAGCGATCAGAAACCATGCTCTACCCCGCCGACACTTGTGCCAAAGTGTCTGCGATGTCGGCCCTTCCATTGATGATCCTCTGACCTCACCGCACCTTGTGGGAGCTCTTGATGATTCGACTTCACCCGGCCGACATTGCATACGCCGTCAACAAGTCTCGCCTACATGCATGATCCCCGGAAGTTCATCTTGTTGTCGCTAAGCGGATTCTTCGCTACCTTCGTGGCACTATCGGTCATGGTCTGGTCATTCCCAGATCTGCTCCAACTCACTTCGTGTACACCGACGCCGATCGGGCGGGCGCCGCCTCGACACCCGCCGTTCCACCTCGAGCTACGCTGTCTTCCTCGGGCGCAGCCTTGTTTCTGGTCGTCCAAGCGCCAACCCACCGCTTTCTCGGTCAAGCGCCGAGGCCGAGTAGTGCCGTGCGTTTGCCAGCGGTGTCGCCGAAGCCTCCCGGCATGCGGCAACTTCTACAGAGAGCTTCACCATCCTCTCGGATTCTCGCCTCGCTTCGCCTCATCTCTTGACAACGTCGGCATTCTACCTCTCCACCAACCCCGTTCAAAGATCGGCCAAGACCAAGCACGTGGAAATCGACCTCCACTTCGTCCGGGAACGGGTCGCCATTGGAGCCGTCCGTGTTCTTCATGTTCCCACCACGTCGCAGTTCGCCGATGTCTTCACCAAGGGGCTTCCTTCTTCTGTATTTATGGATTTCCGCTCCAGTCTGAACGTTCGCTCTAACGACGTTCCGACTGCATGCGCCACCTCCAGGCTGGTTAGGCCCTTTGGGCTCTCCCTGCTCTCCTATATATACGTGTAACTCCTCCTGTAATCTGATTAAGTAATCCAAACCTATTGCCCTTCCTCTATTAGTGCCCACTGCCCAGTGTTCATGGAAAGTACCACTGTTAACTGATCCTGAGCTAAATTTTCTTATCAAGTAGCTACAGCAAGCTGTTTCTTTTGCTCTAGTTCTCATTATAGATCTTGGTAATGCAGCACTTCTTTGGTATGTATGTGAATATATGACTCTCTTGCTACATTATCACAGGAGTTGACACAGTTCATCAGTCGCTCCAGCGATAGCAGACCTGATGTGTTGAAGAAATTAAATTTTGTAATGAAAGTGAGGTACTTACATTGTGAATCTTTCTAAAACTTTGGCACCCAATCACCAACCTTATATTCCTGTTATCAGTTTTATGCTGTCACTGATGTTAGGAATGAAATACTTTTTCCTAAATTGTTTGTTACATTATTGAATCTTATCTTGCTTCTGGAATTCCTTTGGGAATGCAATATACATAGGCATGTTCATATCATAGTAAAGTAGATATAAAGTTCGTATCCAATTAGGCAATTATCCATTCAGTTGCATATGTAGTAGTTATAAATATTTGATTTGCAATTGCGTAAACTAATTTTAGCAAGTCAACAAAGCATACTGGATCTTGCTCATCCTGTTGGCTCATTTCTAATTTCTTGTACTGTGCCCATGAATAGCATTTTTACCTATAATGAATAGTCATGTGGCTTTATTTTGGTTTCTGGCACTAACTGCTTGTCTTTCTTTCTGTTGTATGACTTTATTTAGGCATAAACTTTATCACTTTCTATCAACACTACAGCAGTATCTCCATTGCCATTTATCTGATATATCGTGGCGCCGTTTTCAACATTCCCTTAAAAATCAGGTATAGTATTTCAATCACTATTCTTTTAAAACTTCACCCTGAGAGGAATTAATATGCTTTGTTAGGCTTCCTTTCTTAATTTTTCTGTTCATTAAATACACTTATCACTTACGAATTGAACTATGGCTACTAATATTCTGTTATTGCTTAGGTGAGGGATATACTGGACCTGGAGTATGTGCATATGTGTTATATTACTGATGCATTTGACATGTGAGTGAAACCTTAAAAAAATTATTTGTAATTTGCGATACTGGCCATGTACTTAAGTATACCATTTGTTCAAATGAAGGGGAACAACAGCAATGTGCAAAACTGGCATTTATTTCTGCTTTATCTCTTTAGTGGTGTAATTTATTGCCATCAGCATAATATAAATTATAATAAAACTGCCTGACTGTTAAAGTTTTGGCTTGTCATTTTTGCACTTGGTTACATAGGTGAGTATATGGAGTATGGAGTATGGACCTACTTCTTTCATGTATGAGTTAGGGTAATAAATAGATTTATAGATGGCATGGGAAACACAAGTACTTAATTGAGTATCCAGACTCAAAGATTGTGTTTAACTTGTCAAAAGAAGCTTATTTTCTCTATCTCATTTTCTCATTTGTCTTATCTGTGCGTATCATCCTATTTAGATTTGATGTGGATATCTCCATGAGTAATTAGATTTGGGTATGTAGAAACAAAGTAGATTTGTCTAAGAAGATTTTCACAAGATTGCACCTCTACTTGGTCTTATAAATATGCAACTATAATTCGTGACCAGAATTCTGTCCCGGAGACCATATGCCTATGTCCACAATGACACTTATTGTGATTGAAGTGCTTTTTTTTTTTCTCGAACAAGCATGAGAGCTGTGTATCTTTGTATTAAGAAGAAAATTGGGCAAGAACCCTTACAACACACATCCATGCGCTCATGTTTCTAAGAGTACATTCACACCCTAATTGTGATTGGAGTGTTTTCAAGTCGGTAAGTCAAGCCTAGACACCCTGGCACTGACTAGACGACTAGGTCGACTACTCGGATTACTAGAACGACTAGTCGGTGGCAGAGGCACAAAGACTAGCACAAATATAGATTAAATATTCCAGAGTAAGTAGCAGTGTAGCACTAGCAAAGTAGCAAGTCAAGTAGCAATCTAGCATAGCACAGCATATGCAGAGCACAATATCACATTATATCACTAGAACTCTACTGGGTTGTGGCCTCAAACTGAAATGGGATAAAATTCCAAGGCCAACTCGTTGAGGTCAAGTCGTCCATGCCTAAATTGAGCTACCAGTCATTGGCCATCGAGTAGTCATATGACTGGTGAACTAGTCACTCTAGTCGAGTTGCTGCACCAAGTCAATCCCCACCAACCGACTGGTGACTAATTGTGGACTAATCACAATTATTTGGACGACTTAATAATACTGGATTGGACTGGATGGAGTATGCTTTACAACGTGCCAATTGTTATCTGATTGGTTGATGTGTTAACTTGTCATGACGTATTTGTGTTCGTTGATAACTGATCATGACATGTTTTTCAGATGTTTCTTATCTGATGAGTCAAAACAAGTTGCCACGATAATCAAAAGCATGCTGCAACTGGCTTTGGAGTTACGATTATGCTTCCAGAGTCTTGGTGATACTTGTGATTTATCAGTAAATCAACTAACTAATCTGCAATACATTATAAACTTCTCTCAGGTATTCTCTCAGTTTCATACAAGCAATGTAGTTTGATTTCTGCCTTGATTCAGCCTTTCAACTCCAGCATGCAAATTGAAAAGCGTCCAACCCTATGGTGATATATATGTGTAGCCTTTCAACTCCAGGATGTCATATATGTTCAGGGTGGCTTGCAGTTAGTATCCCTGTTAGTTAATAAGCCACTGCCCTTAAATGCTGATATAGAACTGGCAGTTTCGTCATAGTCGTCGACAATGGAATCCCTTTGTTCGTCATAGTTGATTTTTCTTAGTTGCTAAGATCCGCTTTTGTTGATTGTTCACTGTTATCTGCAGTAGTAGTTTAGAGGATCTTCGTTTCCTCCAAATCTCACCTTGCCACAAGTATTATCTGCTAATAGGCTTTTTAGCGCCCTTTGGTCACTGTATGCTTTTCAATGCAGGTGGATGTAATTAGAACAAAGTTTGAGGGCAACATCAGAGATTTGTATATTTTGCATTCGAAATCTTCAAAATATGGGGAGCTTGGCCTTTCCCGTTTCTGGGGGTATCTGAACTACAATGAGTATCATTCTATGAAAATCAGTACAGATATGGGCAGCTTCTGTTTTTGATAAGGACATCTTTGGGGATTAGCTCACCTTTTAAACCGTTGGTGGGATCATTGTGTCTATTTGTTTGTTTCATGGTAGTGATGAGAGGTGCATCACTTTGTTTTGGATCTTCTGGAATCAGTTCAGCTTTTTGAGCCACCCATGACAGAAATTATTGCTTGTTTGTGCTGGTTATATGCCCCCTTACGCATCTGCAAGCCGAGACGTACACGATGCTGAGTGCCGAGAGTTCTCCTTTTTATACACGCTGATTTGATCAAATTGCCCCTTGTATTGGTTTTGGCGAACTAAAGAGTACTACGGTTCTGATATGCCATATTCTTGGAGATGCATGTATGTACTAATGGATCTCAAATTTACAATCAAAATAGGAAATCACGTGACTTGATTATCATACAATGCTAATGGTGTTTCTGTATATTTCGGTTGGGAGTGAATGTATGTACTATGTAGTTCTTTGAAAGGTGGTAATTTTGTATAGCCCATGTAATCTTGATTCTTGACACGTTACACTTGGTAAATGCAAGGTGAATGATTGCTCTCTGGTCTCATTTATAGTTTTATGCTTATACTTGTACTCCAGAAGGGCGGGCCTGGTGCAAGCGGCAGAGTCTTACCGCCTGTGACCGTAAGGTCCTGGGTTCGAGTCGCGGTCTCCACTGACACCCTTTCTCAGACCCTACACAGAGCGGGGGCTCTATGCACTGGGTACGCTTATACTTGTACTCCACTGTCCAGAAATATAAGAATTTTTTAGTTCACGATATCAATTGTGCTTCATCAGACGTATTATGAAATTTATTTTCATAATTATCTATTGATGTGGTAGATGGCAATAGTTTTCTCTACAAACCTGATCAAATTTAGTATGGTTTTGACTTAGTAAGTACAACTAAAAATCTCTCACATCATTTCAGGACCGAGGGATACCAGTATACCACTGCTCGCATTCACGTATGCACATCGAGGTCAACACGCTCATACTCTACGACCATACGACCAGGGCTCTGTTCGGCTGTTATTACAAGCTGGCTTACATGCCGCGCAAGCGATGACATCTCTATCTCTGGGAAATCACTCTGATATCGATCACGAAAACACAGAAAAACAAAACCCGCTGACAGAAGGTACATCCACCAAACTGCATTTTCTGTCATCCTATCAAACGCGCCTGTCGCATCTAGCGTGTAGCATTAGACATGTCATGTCAATGGGCATGTTCGCTAGTTGGTGTTGGTTTTTTGTGAGAGAAAAACACTGTTGACTGACTGATTTGGACTGGCTGAAACCAACAAGTGAACAAGCTGAATATATCATGGTCCAAATGACCAAAGACCGGGACTACGGGAGCGCTCGCTGGGTGGCATGAAACGCAATTTCAATTTGTAATGACCAGCGCGCACGGCGTGTTAGCGACAGCCGGCCCGGATGTCCCTCTCGGATGAACAAGCCGCTGTGACGCGCGACGAAGCTCAGGGGTGCACCGCACATGCACAAACCTGCCATCGAATGGAATCCGTTTTCTTCTCTCCCAGATTCGTCCAGCTCTATATATAAACGAGAAATTTTACGATGGTCGGAAAAAACATGGACTATTTATTGAGTAAGATCGGACGGTGAAAAAATAAGAGATAGCCAACTAAAAGTATTTGGAGTTACCAAATAAGTTGGTATAGTACCAAATTAGGTGGGACCAGTACCAAATTAGTTAGAGCTATAAATAAATTATTATTAGATTAATTAAATTTAGTGAAGGGTGAAATAGTAATTCATTGTCTTCAACCTACCCTGCAGCACGCGGCGCACAAAGTTCGACAGCTGAATTAATTCCTCGCCACGTGTTCCACCGCTGCACGCTTCCATCGTGTCGTCCGGGTGAGCAAGGGTCTGTCACGTACGGCCAAAGCTGCGTGCCGGCGTCCACCGGACGTGGAGCTGCTGGACAGTGTGAAATACTCCTAGCTAGCGGCAGATGGCCTCCGCGGAGGCCATCGTGGAGGTGATCGAGGCGAACACGAAGCTCCTGAAGAAGGCGGAGGAGTTCACGTCAGCCGCGGCGGGCAACGGCGACATGCGCAGCCAAAGCCAGCGCAAGGTCATGGAGTGTGTGCCGTGTGCGCAAGATGTCAGAGAAGGCCGGGCAGCAAGAGAGCCGGGCGGCAGCGGTTCCACCACGCGCTGCTGCGGCACGAAGGCACGGATGCAGCTGGCGTGGCGGCGAGCCGGCAACCACCGTATAGGTGTAGCAGCGGTCGCGGATGCAGCTGGTGGAGTACCCCTACGGGCGGCGGTGCGACAGCCGGTGGCCCAACCGCCCAAGCCACTCCGAGGCATCGGGAACTACCGCGTGGCGGTCCTGTACCATCGAGGAATTACCAGACAATTACCAATATATCCTCAAGAATAAAATTTAAATTTTACAAATAGTCTCTCTTAATTAAATGGCTAATAAATAAAAATACCGGAAAGTACCAAGGTATTTTTTCCAACCATAGTAAAAGAGCTCTATATAAAAAACACTACTAATACTATATATATATATATATATATATATATATATATATATATATATATATATATATATATATATATATATATATGGTACTTTTTCCGACCATAGTAAAAGAGCTCTATATAAAAACACTACTAATACTATATCTATCTATCTATATATATATATATATATATATATATATATATATATATATATATATATATATATATATATATATATATATATATATATATGCAAATTGCCAATGTACAGCACGGGGCTTTGACAGACACTAGCTAGGCTCCAAAACGGCATCCCAAGCAGTAGCTTCGCAATGGCCCCGTTCGCTTCATAAAAAAAAAACTGAAACATTGTTCTGGATGATTTGTTGTGAAAGAAAAATACTGTTTCGACTAAAAAAATAAGCTAAAAAAACGGATTATAAGAGAAACGAAGAGACCCTATGTGTTATTGGATCACAGGGAAGTTTACTTATGGTTTCCAACTACAGCTTGAGAAAGTTAGCTTGGCGTCAGATGTATTATGTATGTTTAGTTTTGACTAAGCTATATAAAGCTAGCAAAAGTACACAAATGTCCTCTCTGGATCTGTCCTCTCTGCATATATGTGTGTCTTCTTAATTTTATAGTTTGTTATTACTCATGCTTAAACTGCAACCAAGCTACACGGGACCACGCAATGAATTGATTCCAGAGCAGGTACAACACTAGCTTGCTTGTATGGTACTCCTACAAAACTGATTTGGACTTTGGCCTCTCGTTTAGTTGGTGAAATTTTTTGAAAAATAGTATTGTAGTATTTTCGTTGTTATTTAATAATTAGTGTCCAATCATAGTCTAATTAGGTTTAAAAGATTCGTCTCGTGAATTTCGTCTAAACTGTGTAATTAATTTTATTTTTTATTTATATTTAATGCTTTATACATGCGTTAAAAGATTCGATGTGACGGAAAATCTTGAAAATTTTTGCAAAATTTTGAGAATTAAACAGGCACTTTAACAACTTTATTCCCAATCTTTAGATCTGATGATGTAGCTGATAGTACAGCATCATGTACCTATAGCTATATAAACAACATATAATCTAGCGCACACCACTGGTGGATTCTGGAAACTTATCTCTTCTTGGGGAATCAAATCACATGATGAGACTGACATATGGACGTCTTTGATACGACAGGGATGCTTACAGAATATCGCTAAAAGTTTACGTGACCTATCGAACGTTTGACACACGTATAAAGTATTAAATATAGATTAAAAATAACTAATTATACAGATTATGACTCCTTTACGATAAAAATCTTTTAAACCTAATTAGTCCATGATCTAATAACTGAGCGCTACAGTAATACATGTGCTAATGATGAATTAATTAGACTTAATAAATTCGTCTCACGATTTACTGATGGATTCTGTAATTTATTTTTTATTAGTATCCGAAAATTCTGTGCGACACCTCCATACGACACCCCAAAACTTCACTAAAAGACCCAGGATGGCTTGTGTGGTCGGGAACTCGAGATAGAAGGGAAAAAAAATGCTGCTATCATGTAAGCGAAACAATATGACTGAAGAAATTGGTGGCTTGAAAAATGGATATAATATGTAATGTTATGAACCAATGTTAATAGCTCTGCTATCATCACTACCGGATTCACATAACATATATGGTATAATAACACTTTTATCATAAACAGCAACGTTTTCAGGCTATCTTCCCTGAAGAAAAGATGAGCTAGCTTGCGGTGAGCATGCATGAATATCAGTTAGAATCTATCGTATTTTTCTCTCACAATAAAACAGTTTTAGCCGATTTATCAGCCGGTTTTAATACCAGCTGAACAGGCCCATAATATGTCTGCACATCCACACAGACCTTTAGAATGAAACAAGTTTGGTCGGCTTCGGATAATCAACAGGCATATTTATACAGCAATACCTTTTTGAGTGTAGATGGATAAATATGAGCATAACTGTTGTAGTACTGCTAGAAATCCTAGTTTACAAGCAATGCTAGCTTAGCTTGATGAAGTATTATGGCTCCACTATGGGATCAGTCGTTGAGTTGAACTTACTAGACAGAGGTCGAATAAACACAGATCATGCAGATTCTCTGCTATGGTTTCGGAAAGGCCCCAAAATATCAGAAAGAACAGCCTAACCTTGTTCTACTGGCTTCAAATTAAGAACCATTCCGCATGATCAGAACTCTTACCAAGGCTATAACGTCTCTGGACCTTTTTTCAGAATGAAGAATACATGAGTGATATTGGTTCGGCTCACATCCAGTCCAAGTCCAACGACAGACTCGAAGCAAGAAGGACATGAGCCGGAACAATACCACGCCATGTCGTCTTCTTCCTCCTGCATCATCCTCCCGGCCGGCCGCCATAGACCTCTGAAACTGTGTTCTCTGCTGATGCCAAAGCAGCCATGGCATGGGTATTTAATAGCGAGGGGTGGCGCCAGGGTGAAGCCACGTATTAGCGGTCCGCACCCTTTCCTTTCTACTACCGGCAAACTACAGTTAGCTCCTGGATCTGCCAAAACATAACGATCCGGGGAGCAATTGGATTGCCTGGTCACTACGCTTGTGATCCCCAGCCTCCAATTTTCTTCTGCTGCGTTGCTTAGAGCCTGTTTACTTCCTAAACTTTTGTAAATTTTTTCAAGATTTCCCGTCACATCGAATCTTTTAAACTTAATTAGACTATAATTAGACACTAATTGTTAAATAACAACAAAAATGTTATGATATCATTTTCCAAAAAAATTCGCCAACTAAACCACCCCTTATTCTATCCCTGTGCTGTACTAGGCTACTACTAGCTGCATTTGGGCTCGGGTGGTAGCCCTTCACTCCAGCTATGGATGTAGGCGTGTGCCTTTTTAGAGCTCTATAAATCTTAAAGCTGCTAATTTAAAACGACTGGCTACTCTAGTGAATCAGCACATAATCTTTTAGGGGAAATGTTTCGGTGCCTGTTTAGCTCCTAAAATTTTGCAAAATTTTTCAAGATTTTCCATCACATCGAATCTTTGAACGCATGCATGAAACATTAAATATAAATAAAAAATAAAACTAATTACACAGTTTAGACGAAATTCACGAGATGAATCTTTTAAGTCTAATTAAACTATGATTGAACACTAATTATCAAATAACAACTAAAGTACTACAATACCATTTAAAAAAAAATCACGAATTAAACGAGGCCTTAGTTTTAGCGCCCGTTTATTTATGTTCCTTGACTTGATGGGAACAACTGTTGGAAGTCGTCAGCCTGACTGACTGCATGGCCTCATCATCCTTACATCCCACCAACAGCTGATATTTGTGAGAATATTTCTTTTCTTTTTTCCCTAATGGCAATGGGCGATGTGGTAATAAGTGGGCCGGTACTCTCATGAGAGGTCCACATGAGCTGGTCGATTTCACATTCAGCGTTCAAATATACCTAAACACCAACTGCCATCGCTATTCTGTGCTTCCTCTGGATTCTGGAGCTACCAACTGGCGTTCCTTATGTGAAGGGACAGATCTCTTGCCGCTCCGCTATCTTGCTCACGGGGACGTAGGTAATGCATGCGGACATCAGCGATGGCCAGATTCAGATAGCAATGTACCAATGTCCACATGGATGTGAATTGGGATGGTCCTTGGGACGACCAATTGCTGCTTGCTATCTCCGTCTCCAAAAGAATGTAATTCTAGCACAGTTTCACGTTTTACTACCTTAAGTTTGATTAATTATAGATAAAAAATATTCATATTTATGATACTAAATAAATATCATCAGATTAATTACGAAATATATTTTTATAATAAATTAATTTAAAGCCATAAATATGAATAATATTTACTAAAAACTTGGTCAAACATGAACCACTTTTTATGTCACGCAATCTATAGTTGCATTTTTTTTAGGACGGATGTAGTATCATACATGCACTCAAAACCCTGCTTCGATCAATTCCTGCTAGCTCAGTGCCGAACTGCCGATGACAGCATGATGAGCATTGAGCATTAAAAAAGAGGAAATGCAATTCTTGCTCACTGTACGTACGAGTGCCACGCGACAACCTGGGCAGGAAATCAGCAAGAATCCGGGGACAAACACCCATATGCTTTATACTAATGTTATACAGCACCATCATTATTACAAGAGAGTAGCTGTGATGATGTGAGGACGGAAGCCTGCACACATCGTTGCGTTTATCCGCTGGGTCTTCCGGGCAATCCGAGCCTGCCCTTTGGGAAAGAAATTCACGCGGCCGAGAGTTGACACCCGAATGAACTGCTCCTCTTCACGTGCGGATGTGAGCCGGCCGGTACGCTGAGTCAGACGATCGAAACGGGTGGAGAACCACGCCAGCGAGTAGGAACTAGGTATGAAAACGGATCGGATACGAACGGGTATAACTGATATTACATTTGTTTTCGTATTTCTATCCGGATTTGGATTCGAATACGGATAGTGTCAACCATATCGGATAGGATACGATTGGATATCGACATTATAAATATGTGATTTGAGTATTCGGATACGGATACGGTATCGGATGTTGAATATCCGGATTCGGATATGAATAGATCTGAACTCCTTTAAACGGATTCGGTCTCGAATATGGTCAGAAAATATCCGTACCGTTTTCATCCCTGGTAGGAACACACACGCAAATAAATACGGCATGGAGCTGGTGGCCGTGATGCATGTCATATGGCCAATGGCCAATGGCTCTCGGTGGAAATCATTGCCACTTTGGTGAGGAGGAAGGAGTCATTGTTCCTATTTGCTCGATCGCCTTATTTTGGTTTTTAGAGTACCCAATTGGCAGGTGGCAACTGCCCTCGCCGTTCACAAGGATGGATTAAAAACCGGTCACGAGCAGTCCTTTTGGTGCTCGAGATTCGAGATATCGGTACGAATTGTTTTGTAATCGTGGTTAGGCTCCGTTTAGTTCCGAAAATTTTTGGCTTTTGATTACTGTAGCACTTTCGTTTGTATTTGGTAAAAATTGTCTAATTATAGACTATTTAGGCTTAAAAGATTCGTCTCATGATTTCTCAACTAACTGTGTAATTAGTTTTTTTTCGTCTACATTTAGTACTCTCATGTATGTGCCGCAAGATTCGATGTGACAGGAAATCTTGAAAAATTTTGGGTTTTGGATTGCATCTAAACAGGGCCTTAGTATGGTCCAATGACTGCCCTACTCTATGCCCTAAAATGCTCTTGTTGTTGACCTGTCTTAGTCGGCAGGGGTGTACAACGCATGTGGGGTGGTAGTTTTCTGTAGGCTTGATACTACTATGGCCCGTTCGTTAGTCTGAAATTTTGCTGAAATTGATTGGTCGTCGTGAGAGAAAAACACTGTAGCGGCTGAAACTGGCTGGTTGTTGTGAGGAGGAGCAGCCGGCTGATCTGGTAAACCAGACCAACGAACGCAGCCTATATACTCTCTCGGTCCAAAAAAAAATATAATTATGGGGTTAGTTAAATTAGTTTAAGTTTAACTAAGTTTATAGTGGACAATATTAGCATTTATGTCTCTATTATTATGAAAATATATTCTATAACTAATTTAATGATACTTATTTTGTATCAAGAATACTAGTACTTTTTTATATATAACTTCAATTAAAATGTAAACTGTTTAACTTATCGAAAAAATGAGATTTACATTCTTTTATGGACGGAGCAAGTATATAAGTACTCCTACTAGTCTATTATAAAACGAAGTGATAACTGGAATCTGGATGGTGGATGCTACACCTACACACACCAGTATAACTGGAATATGAGGAAAATGAGCCTGGCCCGAGCCCGATGGGTTTTAGCCTATCCACGAACCCGACATAATTTTTCTTGGCCCGAGCCCGGCCCGAAATACTTTTTTTTTTGCCATTTTACACTATAAAATACGCGGGCGGTCCACCCAGGCCTAGGCCCGGCCCGAAAAATTAGGTTCAACCTGCCTAGTGAGACAGTCATGGGCAAGACTTTTTCGGCCCGAAATAACCAGGCTTTTTTGGCCCAGCCTGACCCGCAAAATGCTCAGAACTACACACCATGCTTGCTTTCTTGAATAGGTATATGTTTCCTTTTTCTTCAAAAAAAATTATATGTTCCCTTTTCTTTTTTCTCTCGAAAATCACCTATACCAGGAAGGGAAGGGAGGGTTTCTCTTTTCTTTTTCATTCGCTGACTGATGGCGATGCCAGATAAAACCATCTCTTTTTAAATTTTTTTTTGAGCAACATCTCTTTTTTAATGTTGCCAGATAAAACCATCTTGTAGAGAACTTGGCAAGCCTGAAAGCCCATTGGGCCAGAAACGCTAACAAGTAGGATTAGAACGAACAGCACGTTGGTACAAGCACGGCCCAACAAAAAGCACATTGGTCCGTATCAGCAAACGGGAGGTACCAGGTTTCCTACCGCACTTCCGAAGGGTCCGCCGTCCGCGTTCGTGAAAGCCTGATCACCGCCGCGCGGCGCGGCGCGGCGCGGCGCTGCAGAACCCTAGACCCCCACCCGACCCACCGCCCCTCGTCGACATGGCCGACGCCTCCGACCAGGCCCCCTACGGCGACGAGCACCGGTCGGGAGACGACGCCCGACGCACCTACACACCGTACCAGGCGGAGGGCCTCAGCGTGCTCTCGCCCCGCGCGCTCTACGACCTGCCGACCTCGCCGGAGCTGCTGTTCCACGAGGAGCGGCGCAAGGGCCGCACCTGGGGCGAGAACCTCACCATGTACACCGGCTGCGGCTACCTCGCCGGCTGCGCGTCGGGAGCGGTCGTCGGGCTGCGGCGCGCCGCGGCCGAGTCCCAGCGCGGCTAGTCCGCCAAGCTCCGCGCCAGCCGCGCGCTCACCCAGTGCGGAGCCGTCGGCCGCGCGTACGGGAACCGGCTCGGCATCATCGGCCTGCTGTTCGCAGGGGTCGAGAGTGGCGCGGCAGGGCTCCGCGGCGCCGATGACTGGAAGAACACCGTCGCCGCGGGGCTGGGGGCTGGCTTGCTCTATCGGGCGGCGGCTGATCGGAGGTCCGCGGTCATTGGTTGCGTCGTCGGAGGACTCATGGCCGGCGCAGCCGTTGCGGGGAATCAAGTTCTAGAGAGACACGTGCCTGATCTGGCTTTATAAACCACAGTGCTTAGCAGAATTAGTAGGTTTCAATCTAGCGATTTCAGGCTAGTAGTAATAATTAGGTTAGTTAAGGTACTCGTATGGAATCTGTACAAATTTCCAAGCTTTATTACTGTTGATTGACTACATTACTCGAGTGCAATCTCTGTCCTGAATTAGCTAATGGTGCTAATGTTTATTTATGAATATGTATCAAAATCATATTGAGAATGGTTGAGTTAATGGTGCTTTAGATGCAAACCAAGTGCTTTGATGCCTCTATATATCTAATCATGTTTACCTTAAATGCTTTGTGCATGATGAAGATTTGAATTAGCTAATGGTGCTATTGTTGATTTATGGATATATATATATATATATATATATATATATATATATATATATATATATATATATATATATATATATATATATATATATATATATATATATATATATATATGTCAAAAACGTATTGAGAATGTCAAATTAATGGTGCTTTGAGACTCAAACTGAGTTCTTTGATGCCTCCATATATCTAAAACCGTTGTTGCCTTAAATGCTTTGTGGATGGTGAAGAATTGAATTTCTGTTGTATCGTTTAGTATTTCATAATACAGGGTATTGTTGTTATTTCTGAGCGGTTTTAATTATATACCTTTCTTGCAAAATGTAAGAATACGCATTGTTGGAATCAGATTCCCGTATATCCTTGTTAGTTGTAACATTTTCGTGAAAAAGTGTTGCAAGTCTAGTTTTATTTTTGTTGGGAAGCTAGCTGAATCATGCTGTCTGTGTTCGGGGCAAAGCATTCTGAAAAATTCGTTAACCTTTCCTTAGTGCACAGATTTATTTTTTCAGTCAAATGCGACATTGGTGTATATATGTTACTGTTTTTTTGTTTTTTCCTGGAGAATTCGTTAACCTTAGTGTACATTTTTTTCAGAGAAATACGAGATTGGTGTATATGTTACTGGTTTTTGTGTTATCCAGTGTTTTACCATGACTAGTAAATACTAAATAGGCTTGTTTTGCCTATAGAATTTGTACACATTTCCAAGCTTTGTTTGCTGATGACTATTTGTTTGCTGATGACTATAATATTGAGTGCAAGCCTACTGAATTAACTGCTTGTACGAATGTTGATTTATGGATATCAAGCTGATAGTTGCTCTAGTTAATGGTTCTTGCTTTGAGATTCAAACCGAATGCTGTGATGCTCTCCATCTCCATATTACAAATTGTGGATTATGCAAAATGTTTTAAGATGATGATTAAATTGCTTTTGTATTGTCAGTATCTTAAAGCATGGTGAATTGTGGTTAGTTCTAAAATATTTGGATTATTGTTGGCTGTTAATGCTGCATAACTGTAGCATGTGTTTGTCTACCGTTCCTGCTGCTGCAAGAACATATGCATTATAGGAATTGGATATCCCTGTTATTCCTCGTTCAGTAAATCAACTGACAAGACATTTTTCTTGATGTGGCAATTCTAGTTTTATTCTTATTTCAGACATAGTTCATGCTATACATGTTCAAGGTAAGGCATACTTAATATTTTGTTGAACTTTAATTGTTAAATTGGATGGTACAGGTTCTATGAAGCTTGAAATTTGTTATTATGCCTTGCTCCTTGCATTATCTGGCAGTGTTCGATATTTGCTTGATTCAACTATTCTTCAATATGGGTATATTGCATTGCACCCTCTTTCTCCTGGTAAACTCATTTTATTCAAAAGTATTTGTTTACTTTGTGTGTGTGGCATGATGTCTTCTGGTTAGCTAGTTACTACCTAGATTTTGATTTGATGCTGGTGGTATATATGAGACCACAGCGAAATACTGGATGGTTGTTGCCTGCCTCCCAGAATTTTCGCTAATTATTTCTTTATTTAATCCTTGTCAGAAACTCACAGAATGACCTATAACTTCAAATCTGGATGAATCAAGCATTTCTTTTAGTGCTGACCACACTCCAGAGTAATGTTAAATATTCCCCTTCTTTCAATCTGGTGTTAGTGTTTACAAACAACTTTCCCTACTTTCTGCCAACACATAAATCCACTGTATTTATTTGGTGTACAAAAAATCGTTGAGATTTTGCTGAACTCTCTGTGTGCAGCCCAATAATTCATTGGGATAATTTCTTTTTTATTAGATTTTATAAACAGCAGCTACTACATGCTATCTGTTGTGGTGTAATTTATCAAAACGTATTACACTGTTTATCAAAAAGTGCAGATTCACACCATCTGATGTTTTGTGACTGCAAAATTGAACGATCTAAAGAAAAGATGTAGGTGACATGTGACTGAGCACAGCCCTGCTTTCAACTATTCTTTGTTGAAACAAGTGTCAAACTCTCTTAGGTACGCCGTGCTTGGGCTAGGCTCAACTCAATGCAGGACTGTCAATTGTTGATTAGTCCTGTCTACACCAGCAGGTCGATGATACTCCCTCTGTTCAGAAAAAAAATGCAATTATGGGATCCGTGCCGGTCAAAGTAGCTCAAATTTAATCAAGTTTATAGCAAATAGTATTAATATTTATGTCTCCAAATAAATTTATTATGAAAATATATTCTATAACTAATCTAATCATACTAATTTTGTATCAAGAATGTTAGTATTTCTTTATATAATTGTGGTTAAAGTTCAAACTGATTGACTTGGGAAACGAGAACCGCATTATTTTATAGACAGAGGGAGTAGCAATTATTTGAAGCCCTGTTTGTAAATGCTACGATGAAGTTGAAGGCTTTGAAGCAGGGAGGGCCGAACAGACGGTCATACTGATACAGTTACAGTTAGGGCCGCGCATGGATGTTGCATTCGTCGGCCCTCAGTCCCTCACGCCCACGGGACTTGTCTCTAGTACTCGGCGATGAGCCGGTGACCTTTGCTCAAAAAAAAAGAAAAGGTACTCCGTGGTGGAGTTGCTTTGTTTCAGGTTCTGCTGCTGTTACATGCTTACAGCTTTGCAAAATCACTGCTCATTGGTCAAGAAACTGAAGAACCTAAACTGCAGGATTGAGGAATCTCCATGTGCCAAGGCCTTGTTTAGATACACTCAAAATTTCAAGTTTTTTTCACTCTCTCTCCATTACATCAATTTTTAGCCGTTTGCATAGAGCATTAAATGTAGGTAAAAAAAATAACTAATTACACAGTTTAGTTGGAAATCACGAGATGAATCTTTTGAGCTTAGTTGGTCTACGATTGGACAATATTTACCAAATAAGACGAAAGTGTTACTATTCATCGGGTTGAATTTTTTTTCAATCTAAACAAGGCCCAAAACAACAAATGCATGCCACATTGCTGAACTAACTGCAGGGCTCTGAATTCCCAGCCAGCCTATTATGATGAGAACTGATGGAAGTTTGGTCAGAGTGGGAATGGCATTTCGCTGTTTGCACACCATGCTTAACCGGTCTAAAATTCTTTGGTACTGAAGCCACGGCGCAGCAAAGGGCCGGCACTACAGTCCACTGCAGGCCTTTCAGTTGAGGGCTTCTCTAATCGAAGGAATGAGTTGGTAATCGATGCAGGATTAACGAGAACAGAGAACAGGAAGGGCAAAGGTATGATTGTTCTTCCACTATGGCCATTTGACAGCGAGACAGATCCCTGTGGCAAGGTCAGTGCTGAAAGCCCAGAGCCGTGCCAGTTCTTGGCGCCTAGCTCCTCGTCACCTTTTCAGTGCCCTTCAATGTCAAAGCTCAGAAAGCTTGTGGGGTTTGATCTGATCATGGCCTCGCCACTGTTGGGCCCCGCAACTTTCTCCAGCCACTGTTTCCACCATGCATAATTGCCAGTTCACAAAGCATGGCATGATGTTGAATTGTAGACGCCGGAGGGGCCGCCAGCAGGCTGTGTGCTCGATGGCTTCCGCTCCGTGCGCCGTGCTTCTCCCTCTGCGACGCTGCGACTGCGAGCCTACTGCCAAGCTCATCATGGTCATAATTTGTACTGCTGCTCGTGCGGCAGAAATTGACAATCTTCGCGACTTTTGTTGGAGATTTTCTTTTTGTTTGGCTTTTGAAAAATCCCATCTTTATTCATTTTTTTACGAAAGCTTCATGAGAATATGAGATTCGCATGGAGTACTACTCCTTTTCAATTCCATGCATTTTCTGGGCCGGCATGAAATGCTGTTGCAATGGGTCAATTTTTGTCTACTCTTTTGACTAGGAAATCAGTGGTCCATCTGACAGTTGCTCCCTTTTTTGAGCACCTTTCCCTCTACTCCTACTGCACACGCGCGGTTGCTCAGAATCACGCGGTGGGCGCGCCGGAGGTACAGTACATGTCTTGACTGCTTCATCCTCAACCTCAATCATGCTGCTGGAGCTAAGGTGCTCTACCTGCTGGGTTGCTTCTCACTCCTCTGATGTCGCAAGAAAACAGCGCGAAAAGAATAGGATGTTGTTGTCTGAAGCATCCAGTGGTGAATGCATGCGTTTATTCCTTTCATTTTGTCGGTTCATAAACTCGGGTCCCCCAATGGACCCGTTTCCCTACAAAACTTAGCGCAGCGACAGCACGCGTCTGGGCCGGCCCAGATACACAATGACAGGACAAGACCACGATCCGGTCCCCGACCGGCACCTCTGACCAAGAGATCTGGTCGGAGCCCTGACCAGAAGGCCTGGCCGTGGTGGCACCGCATTCCGACTCCGACCATCTTTCTCCGATCGAGGATACGCCGGAC